TTTATTGCCGGCACTATTCGCAGCTTGTTCGTTTGGTAAACTATTACTACATAAAACGGACCGTGTCACATATGTTGCTACCACTGACAACAGTCATGATAATTGTTAGTACCGTAATCATTATATGATTGTTAGCAGTTATATTTGTCCGTACGTCACGATGAAATCAATTTTAAAACACCATAATAATGGTTCTATTTTTGAGTGCCATCTTTCTTGCTCGGCGACACCACCATACTAGCTATGATTTTTGCATGAAAAAGATTCAATTTATTCATCCCATGTTCAACATACTGCCACAAAATTGTCGATAGAAGCCCGTTTATTCAGCGTCTTAGCATTACATCTTACCTCCATGACTATAGCTTTATTTGGTTTGGGTGGCTACTATTCAGTAGATGGCTGAGTGTAACTGGGCCCCGTTACAGCTGTACGAATGAAGCCTTCCAGCGGTTAGATTGTGCTTCTCTTCTTGTAAAAGTTGATAGTTGCTGAGATTAGCATAGCTCTATTCAGTATAGAAGTAAGACTAACGGCGGCATTTATTTCATCCGCGGTGCCGACGGGGACCCTCAGCACCTCCCAGCTGGTGAGCCAGTCAAATGGCTTGCAGCATATGGCAACTAAAGTTACTTCACTTTTCACTGGACGCACCCCCATGTATTATCGTTACGATCAGCAAAAGCAACGGCACAGATGTCAGCACCAACGTTAACAGCATCTTTTTCTTAGTTAGAATATGGCCTGACGGGAGTACCTGCACGAACAATTGTTAAGAAGCGTAACAGGCAATATTCAATGAGGGCCTACAGGTAGCTTGCTACTGCTTCTCAAAGTACGTGATGGTGATACATTTGACGTCGGTCGGGTTTGCTAGCTCCAGTAATCATATACATGCATATAGGTCTACACGTTAATCTGTTAGATGATAAACAGGTACGTACGTTGAATAGTCTGCCGACACGGTGACGACAGGCAATAGAACCCTTCTCACGTATGGAAAACAATCCACGCAAGTGTGATACACGTCATCTGCATTTCAGTGTAGCCCCAAGACGTTCACTGGGATGTGTCTCTTGCGAAAAGCAACATTATTAGACATGGCTTTCAACTAACGAACACATCCCTACGAGGTACACGCATAGCTTGTCAGCTATGCAGGCGCGGAGTGATTGCGGTCACGTGAAGGGAGGAATAGATATTGTGTGGAGGCAAAAAATATACGTAGGCGGGCCGAAGAAGGGGCGTGTGATGAGTGATCTTACGCGCGAAAAAGCGGCGTCATCGATGACAGATGAAGGTCAATCCTTTACCCCCTTGCGCCAGTCCTTCGACACAACGTGGCTGAATGAATCCACCCCGAAGAGCGAAAACCAGCCACATTTTTCACGATAAGGATCATCTACGAAAGGCATTTCTCATGACACCAAATGCACCACCGTATAGCTGTGCGTCTTTCAATCAGTTGCCCCTGCTGGCCTTAACACGCTGGAACGTCCACCTGGTGTGCAGCAAAACGGGCTTTCTGTCGACCACTGTACAGCCTTTGATTGATTCCACGCTTCGAATGGCAAGTATATTTTTCATGGCTGTAGTCAAGTTAGTGGTCGATTAGAAGTCGGAGAACCTAACGAAGAATGTTGCGTACGAGTTGTCGCAATCCTATAGTCGAGCTATCGCGCAGTGGGTCGGGAGCAAATTTCAGAACCGTTTTTCAAATAACTTTTAAAGTTGTACCAGGCGTCAGTGAACATGTTGCAGCTCGCATGTAAGATAGTAATTAGCGAACGTGTTCTAAGTTCCTCACGCAAAATGGATTATCTTTTTTTCGTTGATTAACTTCAGTTCGCTAGTAAACGCTGGGACCTATCCGTATAGCACAATCGATCGACAATAGTTAAAGAGTGTTTGCACTGCTTGCTTACAGATTCCTTATCTTAGGCCGCAGATTTCCAGTAGGACATGCACTACTTATTACAAGCTACGAAACGTTATTCTTTCCGGTTGTCAAAGTAACTACAACATGCTTGTCTAATATCGATAACATTTAGTTATTTCCAGCCCGCACTCAAAACATGTACTTACTTCAGCAGCCTACATCGGTATCGTACGTGACTTCGTACGTTTGTCTCGATTTACGGATGAGCGGCAGGTAAAAGTAATTCCTGTCACGAGCATGTAAAATGTATGTTCTTTTCGTTACATAAAACATCGAGTCCTCGTTGTTAACTGACGGTACTTGAACGTTCGGCTTGCGTAGCAGCATCAACGGGCGGTATCTTCATATACCCATAATGGCTGTCTTAAAGTGAGCAAACAAACGTAGAAAGTCAAGCGGGAGCCTGATCAAAATGAAAAAGAAGAACTCTAGCTAAAACTTATAGCCTGTGTTTCGCCTGCAACGAAAATCACTTAGTCAGAACAACCAATTTCTATGGCTGATCGCGCGTAGCTACCTTTACAATAACCGCTAAACAGAATATGTCAGCATACTCTTCAAAGTCACTTTACAGTAACAGTTTGCCGAACGGACCTGGAAATCGATGGAGCGTTTCAAAGTCCCCGGTAGTAGGCAACTTTTTCCCCATATGCATTGCTCTATCTAGATGCCTATAGCAAATCATCATATATCATTCATTAATCGTTTCCTAGTAGTATTAGGTAAATATTAGATAGGCTACCTTTGATCGTATAAAGCTTTACAACAATGCTGATTTAGACTGTAATGATGAGATTATCAGACCTGTAGTAGACAATCCAGCCAGATTCAATTGTGTATGTTCAGACTAATAGATTTTCATGTGTACAGCAACACGGCTGTTCTACGAAGCTTTCCGATCGCCGAGCCTTTAATAACGAATATCGCCGAAGCAATGGGAACGATCACAATTCTCAATGCAGCTCTACCACCCTTATAGCGGAGGGAAGAGTGTTCACGGAATTCTTCACAAGTCATACATGCAGACACGCAAATATACATAGTTAAAGGCGAAACTTAGATAAGTTATGGACGCATCTGGTGCAAAAACAATCAGAACGACAATGATCCGACAACATACTGGTGAGAATTCTACGCGAAAAACGTTTCGTTACAAGATCAAGTACTCTGGGATGGTGACGCTAAGGTCGGGTCGGAAAACGCCTGTTCTTTTCCTATTTCGAAAACTAAAGATGAAGACGCACTATTTCTTATATCCCTGAATAGTTTAAATACATACGCAATCGTGTGAAAAAGGCAGCGGGAATTACGCCTCATAAGAGTAAAGCGTGGGCAAGTAACTTGCATCACTGTCGTTATAATCATCACAATGTCATCGAAGAAAATGAATTGAATTCAGGCCTGAAAACAACTAGTTTTTCAACTTTAGAGTTAACTTATTATTCTCATAGAAAAATGATAATTATCCAGCTTTTCCACCTTAGCACCAATATACTAAGAGAGCTCCCTTCCACACCTTCGATAACGACGTGCATTCTTGTGCATTTACTAGGGCTGTTCCAAGCCATACACAAACCGACAAGGGTAAGTAAGCGACAAAGCAAACAAAGACGACTCCAGGCTCAATGGATGGCTAACACTTCAATCGAGGGTAGATGGATGGGTGTTTAGCTCAGCCAGGAGGCTCTGCATACTCCAGAGAGTAGCGCCCTCGTCTACGTAACCTCTATTATACAACAATGCTGATCTATGGTACGGTGTTCAGAATGTGGAGAACCTGCATGCTGCATTGGTCGGAGAGCACAACAAGCAGGACTAAGGAATATAGCTGGTGTCAGTGGGCGTCACACGACCAACTTGGGGTCAGATCCAGGCCCACTTACTATTAGTACTTAAACTTGCATACAATGTTCGAGAGAAGGGAAACCTCGGTCGTCTATATCGTGTCGAAAGCCAACCAACGTAGCACGCTACTCTTCCAAGAAGACTTTTGTACAGGCAGACGGACACAAGAAAATCAACGGAGCGAGTCGCCAGTGCTGCCAGTATTTGGATAGCATCGCCGACATCGATTCGTTCGCCTGGTACAGGCCGAAGGTGATATCTCAATAAAAGAAAGGAAATGCACCATTACGATTACGGCCTGCAGCAGGCACACCAGGAGGTCGGTCTATCAACGCACAGACAAACGGGCCATCTTTCCTTCGTTGGCTTCTGGGCGAAGCGAGACGGAGAGCAGTCATTCATTTGAAAAATTGCCAATACAATAGAAACCGAAGCGAATAAGGAAGGGGGAGTAGACTCAGTAAAAAAGAAAAAGCTAATGCGAAGCGAGCACACTACCGAAGTAAAATGGCGAAGGATAGCACAGGAAAAACGAAGCTAGGTAAAGAGAAACAAAATAACAAATATACCGAGCGACAGCTCCCATTTTGATGCAAAATGCATAGCCAGTCTCGCCCTTTTGCTCTCGCTTTGTCTCTTCATATTTACCGATGCTTATGACCGCCTTCGCCACTGGTTCCTTTTTACTCAGATTACACCTGGCGCCAGTTCAACTAACACTGAAGAACGTATTAGCCAAAATGTATACTCTGGGGATAGTACGACTGATACGGGTACTATTGGAGGAAAGCTTTGGAGAGAGAACGATGGAAAACCAAGTCGCTCAGAATGAGAACTATGTGCTAAGCATTGAATTGGATCAGTGGAATTGGTATTTGACGTAGCGTTGATGAAACGTGGCCAACCACTATAGAGATGGTACTAAAGGAAACTCGATGGGAAGGTCGGAATATGTACCTATAATATATTGTAATCAGCAACTGCACAGTATAGTATTGTATCAGGCTTCTATTATCTGTCTGAAATTGTATTTGTTAACTATTTAATTAATTACGTAAAAATAGAATGGCTATGAAGCGTGTTCATTGATGTAAAAGTCTCGCCTCTCTCAGCGCTTTATAAGACCATTTAGCGATACAGTAGAAAATGCAATTGATACTTAGGAAGATCGATTGACGACATGACAAACTGTAGGTGGCTATCCGTCTATTATTACCAAGGCACTGATTTGTTTCGAACGTGTGTTACGGCCTGTTCGTTGTACGGAAGATAATCAGCTATAACTGCACAGCGTCTCCTCAATCGGGGTCACCACAAACAGATTTCTGCAGTCGGAAAGCACCCGCGCTAACTTCACAACATGGTTCAATGTTCGGTATCGTTGCAATGTATCGTACGCGAATTAAAAGCTTTTTTCATCAATACAAGTCAAAATATTGCAACAACAATATATCAGAGTCTTCAGATACCAAAAGCAGGCGTTTTTAGATCCTACCGGCGCGCCTCTACACCTTTCCCGTCTGCGTATCGGAGCAGTGGCTCGAACACTTATGATTACCTAGGAGGCGACACTATCCGTGCTTGTCCGATATTCAGTCGTCATGTCTTCGTTGCAGTGGATGCCGCAGCGCAGGATTTCTAGTGACATGCTCCTTTCACCGTTTTCTCTACGTTCCAGGGCCTAAGTGTCTTGTTTTACCCGTATCCATTAATTCTTCCGTTTCTCTTAATGTCCTCCACGGCTTCAAGCGTCCTGTCTTGCCGCTTTTATCCTTCTCTCCATGTGCAACATGGGAACTCTAGCGCGTGCCAAAAGCGTGGAGGCGTTCCTCAATAGTCACCCCGTTCTCGGATTTGGAATATGCCGCGGCTCCTGTTGAACACGCTGTTGTAGCTGCCAGCATAGCTGGATTACAGTTCGTATTTCTGTTGCTACGAATAATGCTTCTCATGTCTATTAGGAAGCTATTTAGCGCGGCGTGCGACCAGCGTCTCGTGCAGTCTGCGTGAGTAAGTCGCGTCTACTGGCCGGATTGAGGCGAAATGTCCCTGCTGCTTGAATCGACTGCTGGCAGCAGTGACAATGGCAGTAACGATGGCAAAAGGTTTTTGTTGATTACCTTTTGACAGTAACAAACGTTCTCAAGTCGCTTAACAGTTGTTTCACTACGTACCGATCTGTTAGCTTGCGTCAACCTGGTGTCTGTGCTTAGACGCCCGCGTGTGCGTCGCACTCAGCGATGCTGCCTCGATGTTCAGCCGCAGCAGCACCAGCAGTAGACGATGGTGGCCAAAGCGAAGAAGAAGCCATAGTAAATAACCCAGACCAAAGAAGGCGAGCGTTAAGCGCTCCCCCACTAACCCAAGCTTCGAGAGCAGCGGCAGCATCACCAGACAGGCAGGCAGGCAGGAAAACAACGTTGAGAACGCTCACATAAATGGTATCCTTTATGCCTGTTAACTAATGCAACAAGAAAAATGAGAAAGAGAAAAGTCGTGTCTATTAAAACTAAAAGCTAGTAGAGACGATAGGCCACCATTGCTGCAACTACGTGGCACTCTGCACACGGACGCAACTGTGGCCGACGCACGCTGGTTTTTTACTACCTGGCATTTTGACACATCGCCGTGCTCCCTGACGATAACAGTGAGACTAGTAGTAACGTAGTATTAGTACTCTGCCGTTGCCTATACAAGTAATACTGAGTCAGTGTGCGGTGATTGGCTAACAAGGACGATACACATCATCAGTAGAACAAAGATGCCCGGGGCATCAATGGATAAAGAAGCATAAATGACGCACATCGCACAATAATAGGAGAAAAAAACAAATAGAGACCGAAAATCGATGACGAACCCCTGGATCGGGTCGTCGTCTTTGAGTGTTGCCATCTGAAACAGTTAACGGGGCAAAACGCAGTAACGCTACTGGCGCCATAGTTCAGTGCGGACGTATTAACGACCACCTTGCATCTTTCTCACGCAGTTCCATCGTATTCTGTTCGGTTTGGTAGACGGTTCTAGGCATATGAAACGAGGTTTTCCGAATCTGGTAAGTGTCAATACTGTGATATGGTTCAGAATACAAAACAGATCAATGCTTTTTGTATTATTATAGTGCGTAAACGATATCATATGGCTTTGTAACCGCTCTTAACTAGTAAACCAGACAAGATCTTTCAGCACTCCAGTAGCTGTTTCCATGTATGGCTGATGTAATATCAGCAGCTTGTTGTCAGTGCTTTCAGAATTTCCTCATTAAAACCCTTATGATATTTTACCCACTGAACCTCGAAACGTGCTTCGAACTAGATGTGCGACGCCGTTATAAAATTGTCATGTTTATGAAATAAATCTGTAATGAAATACGTATAGAACTATTGTAGATTAATTCAATACAGTTATATATATATATATATATATATATATATATATATATATATATATATATACGTATCTATTCACGTGCTCCGTATGCATATGCATAACAATGGAGCACAATATCTTTGTAGCCAATCTCTTAAATTGCATGAACTTTCCACTCTACTGTTGGTGGTACGTACAGCACAGCCAACGGGGACGAACCCCCGAGTCGCACCAGCTCGTACATTGGTAGTGTAAAATCAAAAGTACGCCAACACAAGCGCCAGCTCACACAAAGAACTTTTAAACAAAAGACGCACCGTTTTCCCGCCGGCATCGACCGTTAATGTCACAAGATCAGTAAACTACTCGAATACGCCTGGCCGTCGTACCTCGTATCTATTCTGCCGATCGAGCGGCATGTCAGGAGACGCATACATAATAAGATCAAACACGATACATCTACGTAGCATGACCAGCGTTCCTATGCATATCTGCGCTAGTCCCTATGTGCCTACGTGGGACAATTGTTGTTGTCTCCATGCAACGACCTCGTTTGTTTTGTCGCCGGATGAGAATTACAGACAACAAAATTTACGAGAGTCTTTCCAGGACATCAACGTTCCCACTGCTCGTAGAATGCCCTGACTTTAATCTATTACGACATGTGTCGACTTTTGCCCATCTAGGAGCGCATAGATCATCGATCATATATCTATGTAGCTGTGTCCTGACTAAACAACCCTTTGTCCCTATAATAGACTAACATCCACAGGTTCGTATTTAGCCGTCCCTCTGATTAACAAGTATTTCACAGAGAATAACTACTAGGCAAGATGATTCAAATCACTCACTCGAGTCAAAATCTAAGATGGATGAGTCCGCCTCTCCAGTAGAAATACAAGTGGAAACCCGGGAGCGAAATGTGGTTCATTGAGAAACTAATACCGTATTTATACCAAAAGCAGAACGGCATAGTAAGAGGACGCGGAAAAATTGTTTGAGACGTTCGCTAATTTCGGCGTCAACGCCGCTTTCTCAGTTTATCGTACACTTACATTGATGATTGCGGATACGACCCACGTACAGTAAATGCTTGTTAACTTACACTGCTATAGCACGGCCTTGGGGTTATAGGCGGCATAGCTCTATCGGCTAACAGAATGAAGCGCGGTCTGTAATGCTGTGTATTCAAAGATGAGCGCGAATCACCAACTCAGAAAACGAGGGTTTTGCAAACCTTCCGTGACCTCTGGGTATTTTTGTATTGCGGATTGCCTTATATGGCAATAGTTTAGTCCAGTGCCGATTCCAGTCCGATTTGCTATAGTAATAACTGTATTATTTCGTACATTAACTCTACTAATGGCAAAATAATATAAGCGCTCCTTAGCCAACATGTAGAGGTCGTGTACTAAACGACAGACGTTGAATGATAACATTTCCGTGGGTAATGAAGGAGTTATTGGTTTACTACTGGTAGTACTAGATCATAGTTAAATCATAGCGCATAGTCGTTCAATTGCCAACCAGCGATTGTGTCACCTTATCAGATATTACCTAATACGCATCAATAACATTGCGCACCTAACTGTGGTTCTGTTTCTGTTCGATTTCTATCCTCTGTAGTAGGCTAAGTTCATATCTAGGCTTGCAGCTAAATAAATACAGATAGGTCAAGGAACTTCATTTAAGTTATTCTTGGCTATAATGGTTGTTTGAGGTAACCATCGTTTTTGACAATTACATTTTCAGTTAGGGTTTAACCTTAGCTATCAACTAGTAATCCGCAAATCACTCTTTAAACGCAATCGTGCGTCAAGTAATAATGAAAATAATGTTTTTTTGGACCACTGTAGTAAATTTGCAAGCTTTTTAAACTGAAACTCTGTTGAAGACTAGCCTTTTCAAGATTTTCCGATCATCGATTTCAGCTATGGGTCGTCTCAGTTGAACACACTAAGTAGTGGTTGTCCAAATTCTAAAAATGACGCACCGTTTCCTCATCACAATAAATTTACCGATTAACTAAGCTTTTTTTTCTGGAAGCAAAAACAGTAAGTGGATACGTGTCGGCTCCAAGAAACAACCCCCCAAACTTTGCTCGAGTTTAAATGTTCCACCTCGATATTGAAACATTTATCGAGTTTTAACACATTCTTCATGAAAGCGATTAAATTGCAGAAGATCAGGCGTTCATTAATCCTATATCTAAAGAGGATAGTTTCTGTATATAAGAACATATATGCATGTGGATCCAACGAATATTAAAAAGAACGAATCCGGATTTTGAGTGCCTTTGCGAAGTTCTCTCGCACAAAGTAATCTTAGTGAATATCTTGCTCTCACTTGTATGTTTAAATATACAAAAATCTCAATGAAAAAAATGAATTTAAATTTACGCGCGCTAATAGGCAACGCTGCCTAGTTTGGTTTATATAGGCGTCACTTCGTAGCACAAGGTTCGTTCGGCACATTTACTTACCGTTAAAGTTATTAGTACGCTCTGTAGATATGCTACATCTAGGACGGCTCGGTGCGGATCGCACGATAGACCTAGGATCAAATAGGCTCGTGCTAAAACAATTGCATATCGAGTACCAACAGCTATTTGGTTTCTATATAAACTATATAACATAGAATTTCGTTAAAAAAAAAGCAACAGATGTTTTATCAATCAGTGATATAGGTTTAAGGCATATATGACCATTAGCGCTAGCTATAGATACTATTTATCTTGTTCCGCTACACATAGATGGGTGTCATACGACAGTATCGTCATTTGAAAGCACCTCTAATTAGGCTTTCACAGAGATACACCGATGGAGTGGTATCGGTATTGCCATCGAGACTGATGTCCATTCGAATGATGAATCGGCTATAACCTAAAATCATTTGAGGATAACACTGATAGAGTTTTCTAATTTTAAGTTTAAGTTTAATTTAAGTTCTCTATTTTTGTCTAGTTGTGCAATACCGTAGCCAAAACGAATTTTCTTTTTATAGCAAACTATAAAACAAAGTTTTCAGACGCAAATTATGTTGAGTTTAATAGGGTTTATTGTTTTATATACCTAATTACATCATGTAGCACGCTACAGTTGGGTGTGATAATCCATTTTCACGTTATTTTTTACGAAACTTTTTTTTAGATGTTGAATATTTGCTCTAGAGTATTGCAGGACAAGGTAGGCTGCAACACTTCATATTCCCTGAGAAGAGTAATTACTTATAGTCTATATAATCATTTTTACTTTATTTTTAATAATTTTTTATTCACTGCATTCTAGCACGTAATAATAAGAGTTATGGCTAAGGTCCCAATGACTGTTTAGGCCTGATCTATAAATATCCAGTGATACGGTTGTTCATTTGAACACGTCCTTATGAATCTTGATTGCCATTTAAACAATATGTTACCAATCAATATCAGCCTCCATGATACGTAGTCCCATGTGAAAAGGCAAATACTGAGTGATCAATATAAAGATTATATGCACCATAGATATATACACCTCTAATCAGTATTGTTAATTTTACGATGCACG